ATATATATATATATATACATAAATGTATATATGTATTATGTATATTCATATATATGTAAATACATACAATAACAATTAATTTTTAAAAAGACCATGAATTTGAAGAAGAATGGGGAGGGGTTTATAGGAGGATTGAGGAGAGGAAAGAGAGAGGGGAATGTAAATTCCAATCTAAAAAATAAACAACCACACACAAAAAAAAAAATCCATGAGGAGAAGAAGAAGCATGAAACAGAGGAAGTTTGTTTTCTGTGACTATCTTGTGACCAAAGCCTCAATAGGACTCTGGAATCTCTCTGGCTTTTATACAAGCCCAGGCCATCAGCTCCCCAGGGTCATGTTATCCTCCCAAAATAGTTCTTAAAAAAGTCTGCTAAGGTTTGGGAAATGAAGTGTCTTCCTAAAAGACTCTTCTAATTGACTCATGAGGACACTAATCCTGTCAATGGGCTCCCAGCTGAAAGGTAGGGCCTAGTTGAAGATAGGGATCCCAAGGGACTTGCCTTTGAAGGTATATTGTATTTTTGTCGTTAGCTTCCTTCCTTCTTTTACTCCCCTGCATTGAGGTTCTGCTTCACCACAGGCCCAGACATAATGGAACAAGCTAGTGTGGGCCTCTGAAACAATGAGCCAAAACATATCTCTCTTTTCCATCAAAGTCACAAGAAAGTGACCACACATTGAAGACCTTAGTGAAATCTATGGGTTCTTACCTTGGCCATTGGTGTTTAATCTTATATGTAACAAAGCTATATTGAGTACCTCTTCTCTGTTCAGTGCTGAAGACATACTGCTATACAGTAGGAATAGCCCCTCTGCCTTGTATGCAAGTTATAAGAAGGTTGTTAGACATTTCAAAGTAGAGCTCACAACTAATTATTTATTTTGGATTCAGGAGAGAATATGTGGGAAGAACCAATAGTTTATCCTTAGACTTGTTAGGGTTGACTATAAAGTAGATACTTGATAGGTACACACACACACACACACACACACACACACACCATGTGTTCAAAGTTTTGCCTCCAGCATCTCCAAAATATTAATTCTTTATGATCTCAAGAGCAAAGAGTATTATTTATCTGTATTTAAAGTCAATGAAATCACTTAAACATTTTTTTTCTCTGATAGTCTAGTGGCCCAAAGAAACAGAAGATATTAATATAAGTATGGCCACATCTTCATTTGCTTATAGGGAAGTCTCTCCTACAAATAGAAGATGGTAAATGAACCAGTTTTAGGGAGACAGCTGCCAAGATAAGAAACTATATCTGCCACATCTGTCTGTTTCCCAGGCCAGATCAACAGTGAGTTTGCGTTTGGATTTAATTATATTAGTTCTTACCCCAGCCAGGAACAATGTGCAATAGTGGGAATACAGTCTGGGGATTCCTGCGGAGTCAGTCCAGAATACTACACTCAGAAATACACAAATATAATAAATATTAAAGGCGAAAAATCTCAATCAATTTCTAATATAATGCATGCTAATTAACTCAGTAATTATTCTGAAATATTTATCTGATTATTTGAGACAGAGTCATCTACTATTCAGGTAGTTTATTTCCTGGCTTTGGAATGTCACACATGTGGTGCCCTGAAACAGTGGAAATACACTGTCTTACAGTTCTGGAGGCCTGAAGCCCCAAGCAAGGTTTTGGTATGTTTGAGTTCCTTAAAGCCTCCAGGGGAAAGCTGTCCCTGGACTCCTCCAGATTTTGGTGATGCTATTGTTTTGTTCTGTAGCTTACATTTCTCCAGTGCCTGTTTCCACTGTCATCTTTTACTGGATGTAGAGCATTTTCATTTCCTAGGAGAATCTTACCTCAAGACCCTTAAGTTCTACCTTCATGACTCATTTTCCAAAATAAAATCATAGTCATTGATTCTGGAGGCAAGAATGGGGAACTATAGTATTACAATTCAACCCTGCTACAACCTCCAAAAATCACATCTATTTCCTCTTCCCCAAATCTTCTTTCATTTGTCTTAAGGTATCTTTCAGGTCTCCTCTTGGTGAGATAAAGGAAACAATGATCATCATTACTGAACACCTATCGTGTTTCAAGCATGTGTCAGAATGTGTAAATTTCTATCTCTCACTGTAGCTATTAACATTCTCTTTTTCTTCATTATAACAGATGACTTTGGTCTTGGGATTTTTAATACTGTGATGAGACTCCATGACCACAGAAACTCTTATACAGAAAAACATTTAACTGGGGCTGGCTTACAGTTCAGAGATTGAGTTTATTATCGCCAGGACAGGAAGCATAGTGGCACACAGGCAGACATGGTGCAGAAGAGGTAGCTGAGGGGTCTACATCTGAATTCATAGGCAGACAAAAGAAAGATAGACACTGGGCATGCCTTGAACTTCTGAAACCCCAATCCTATACGCAGTGACATTCTTTCTCCAGTAACTAGTAGGTGGAGATGCCTCCTAATAGTATCTTTCCATGTGGCCCTATGGGAAACATTTGCATTCAAACCAACACAATTACTTTTCTCACGATCTCAGGAAGAAGAATGGGGAAATATCACTGACTTATTTGTTTTGCAAAGTGCTAACATCCCAAGCTCTTTGGGAAGAGAATAAATAGAATGGAGACATGGGGAGTTCTAGAAGCCTCACGAACAAAGACTACATGAATAGCTGCAGTGGTGTTTGTAAGCAGTGGGTTAGAATGCTGTGTGAACTTTGTCTCAGCTCTCTCCACAACATGAGCTGAATATAACATTCTGGTCTGACATACAAGACAGTGAAGTAGGACCCTTTCTCAGATGACACAGTTACAAAGTGTCAACTTCTTTTACATGCCTAGTTCTCCATGAAGGCACTTGAGAAAACTTCACAGCCCAAGTTAAAGCCCTCATCATTACTTATGTGTACAGACTGTTTAATGAATTCTGGTCCTTTATGTTCAGTATACGGCGATCAGATATGACACATCCCGATTTTCCTTTGGCTCAGTGGTTTTACTGTCAGCTGAAAGAGGAAACATTTCCCACATTCAGTGTGGGAAAAACAACAGAGTCCAGAAATAGCATCCAATTCCCCCTTTCCCTTCATGTTGTGTAACATGAGCAAAGCCAAGAAATTTCTCTTTATGAATTGGGCCCACACTGCCATGGGTCCAAGTAAAATATGTCTAACCTCAATGAATCAGATATTTTCTTTGTGAGGTCTATTCATCAATTTAAATTAGAGTATTTGAAGTTAAGCAATGTGTTGTAAGCCAGAGTGAAGAGGTAACACCGACTCCCTGAATCTCAGAGATGAGCTATCTAACACAGCCTCCTTCCCTATTCTCTTCTGGCTATCCACTTTACCCTTCTGCTGCTTGCTTTCCTCCCTTATCCACACTTGGTGTTCCACAGGTGTATTCCTGGAATATTTTTTCACCACATTACACTGCATCACTGTCCTGCATTATGCAATCTACAGAGAGCCTCTCTACAGGCTCTTACTTTAGATCGTTGGAGCTAACTAGAATACCTTGCTCATGTCTGAAAAAAAGAAAGAAAGGAAGGAAGGAAGGAAGGAAGGAAGGAAGGAAGGAAGGGAGGAAGGGAGGCAGGAAGGAAGGGAGGAAGAAAGGAAGGAAAAGAGAAAGAAAAGAAAAAAACCCAAAATTAAAAAAAACCCTATTTGTTGAAATGAATGTGTGGCCACAGGAAGACCAAAGGTAGTTTTCATATGCTTCCTGATTGGATGTCAGAGTGGAAGCATTTCTCTCTTTCTACATCATTCTGCCCTTTTTCAGGTCACCCAGGTTTATTTCTTCTTTTATTCTCTTGGCTTCTTTGAGCTCCCATGAAATAGTTTTTGAAGAGCTGTTACAGTTTAAATTTCAAATGTGTCCCAAAGGTAAGAAGGTAAGGTTGCAAGTGCTTGGTGCCCACCTTGAGATACTGTTTTGATGGCTAAGGAGCCTATAGGAGTAGGAGCCTGGCCATGGAAATAGCCCACTAGGAATGGACTGAAGATTATTGCCTCCCATGGTCTCAGTGTAACTAACTCTTTTCTTTATGGTCCACTGCCTTGTGAGTAGGAGGCAGCAAACACTCACACCCCTGTGAACAGAGTCATGTATCTCTCTCACCACCACTGTGATGGGCTAAAATTATTCTGAAACCATGAGACAAAATAAAGTTTCTTTCCTTACCTTGTTGTTTCTTCCTCATTCTCCACCTCTTCTTCCTCATCTCCCCATCTTTCTTTCCTTCTTTTTTCTTTTCCTTTCTTTTCTTTCTTTTTGTTTTTTGTTTTTTGTTTTTGTTCTTGAGGCAGAGTATAGTGTAACCCAGGGTACCTTTCAACTCTGAATAGGCCAATCTTAAACTCCTGATCTTCTGTCTCTATCTTTCAAGTAATGGGATTACAAGGATGTATCATCAAACCTGGTTGAGGAATGATATTTCTACATAGCTATACTAACCTCCAAATGTAACCCTACTCTATGCTTATGCCCTCCCCACCACTTTACAAGATAGTCTTATGAACTATTGTATAAGAACCAGATTGAAATTCAGGTATTGTTTCCTGGAGAAATTCTTTAAAAGGTATTAAACAACAACAAGACCACAACTTTCTGAATGTCTAAGACATCAAAACTGTTTCCATATAGTAATAGCTAGCTTTGCCAGTTTATAATTAGAAAATGTACTTGCTTTAGTATGCCTCTTGAGTTTGCTGTTGTTGATTACAGGTCAAAATCATAGTCCTGCTTACAGAGTTGTGAATATTAAATAACATGCTATGTGAGCAGCAATCTGTACTATGCCTGATTAAGACAACAAAGCCCTCAAAATAAGTTGACTGTTTTTGTTACCATTATATTCCAGTACATTTCAATTTCCTTCTGGAGCCAATGAATCATAATCTCATAGCTGAGTAGGGATTATGTCAAAAAACCTAGACTTGATGAAACTTGCCTAATATTGTCACCAAGTCAGTTGATTTAAGGGTAAACTTTTGTTTGTCTTTCCTTTTCTAGGAAGAACCTTCACCAAACCTGCCAACATGATTTCTATCCTTGGGATCTACGTAGAAGAAAGATAGAGCTGACTCTCCAAAATTGTCCTCTATCTTCTGCATGTGCACATGGACACAAAAGGTGTTCAAAAAAAGAGCAGAAGGGACAAGCAATTCTGTAACACATGACCATTATGCGATCCAAGAATAAAGTCCAACAAGATGCCCTACTTTTCTGTTGCTGTGAAAAATACCATGACCAATACAATTTAAGGAAGAAAAGCTTTTAGATTATGATTGCAGAGGGAAGAGTCTGTCACTGGCAGGAAAGTGAGGACACAGTGGCAGGAGCCAAAGCTGGCTGAATGTATTATCATTTTGAAAGCAAGAAGCAAAGACAGAGATTAGAAAGTGGGGCAAGGCTCTAACTCTTCAAAGCCTACCCCCAGTGACATACCCATCCCAGCAAGGCTCCTCCTTCTAGAAATTCCATGTCTTAATTATAACTCTGGTAAGACACCATGACTAATGCAACTTAGAAAAAAGTCTATTGGAGGCTTAGAGTTTCAGAGAGTGAGCCCATGACTATCATGATGGGGGAGTATGACACCAAGCAGGTAGGCATGGCACTGGAGCAGTAGCTGAGAGTTTATAATTGGTCCATAAGAATGAGACAGAGAGAGGGAGAGACACCAGGAATAGGGTGGGATTTCAAAAACTTCAAAGCTCACCCCCAGTGGCATACCTCTTCCAATAAGGCTACATCTCCTCATCCTTCCTATCTGCCATCAACTGCAGACCATGAATATTTAAATACATGAGCCTATGGGGGCTGTTCTCGTTCAAACTACCATCATGTCCTATATACCCTCTCAAACACCAACTGGGGACCAGATGTTCAAATACATGCTTAGTACCTGGATCCTTGTTAACTCATTTCTATGATGACAATTACTAAGAGAGTGATTCTTCAGTCATTTTAACATTTATGTTTTATGGAAGATTGAGTGCAGAGTGTTTTATAATTCAGGGACATGGAGGAAAAGATTTTATTTGGATGAAAATGTGACAAAATTGAATATATTGTGAAAGTAGAGGAGAGGCCAATGTTCTTGCTTAGAGCAAAACCACCCGCAAGCTCTCAGATAATGAAAAATTGTCCCCAAGTCCTTTTCTGACTTTGGGTTTTGATATTTTTCAAGCAAATAGGAAAATGGAATAGGCCTCAGTTTCAGTGCTGACTAACACATGGCCAATTCTTAATTCCTATCAGCTATACCTTATGGATCACAGTGTTACATTTGTAATTATATGAAATCATGCTGAGAACCGAATCATGATATACTGGCTGAACATGCTTAATCTAAACTGTTCCCCAAATCAAAACATTTTGACTGACTATACAATGTCATGTGGAGAATGAATCATGTGACCTCATATGATAGACCACAGTCTCAGTGGCAGCACACTAAAGCTGTCATGTGAGTGCTGATGAGATGTCTCAGCTTGCAAAAGCTCTTGATTCACAAGACTTGAGTTCTGATCCCATATATATATATATATATATATATATATATATATATATATATATAAAACATAAGTCAATTGTCTTTAGACTTGAGTCTACTACATGTTCCAAGATAACCATGCTATACTTAAATTTAAAATTATAATTAGCTAAAATACTTCTGCTCTCAAGTATGAACATTTTGCATTAGGAACACCCAATCTGCATTTGGACATTTTGTTTCACTATATATAACATTATTTTATGAATCTCCACAGGTTACCTCTGAATACATGCAAATAGCTTTATTTTATGCTTTCTTAAATGCTGAAATTTTCTCCAGCAAGTTTTCATTAATTCTTTCTGCTGTTCCTATTTCTCATGCTCAGCATGTGATGTGTTTGTTGAATGACATTTTTTGCTCAAGGTTTGCTCATGGCTGGATACACATTGCTTATTTAATTACTTAAAATACTATTCTAATACAGAAACACATTATATAACACATGACAGAGAAATGCATGTCATCTCCTAACAAGTGTATAAAAATTATTCTCATGCTTTTAGTATAAAATACAATAATAAAAACATTTTTAGAAGTGGCATTAGTACCTGTATTCTATCCTTGAAAATCAAATCCAACATGACCCCCAAGTTTGTCAAAAGCTTGTTTTCTTTCTCTTTGTCTTTTGTCCATGGTTGGCATGTTCCCTATGGTATGCTTAGGTTTTGAAAACTGAGGACTTTCAATAAAAACTCATTCAAGTCTGGCTTTAGGTATTTGCTTCATGATTTGGTTCTTTTGGTTTTTAAATATATATTTAAATTTTGTTGTTAATCCACTGTCTCTAGACACTTTTCCTTCCCTAGCTAAGAACTAGCTAGGAACACACCTCTTTGCTTCCAAGAAAAATAAACACCCTGGTTTAAACAATTAAAACCACTCTACTGGAGAGAAAATCTGTTCTTCTCTCTACTTTCCACTGCCAAAGATGTTGGAGATCAGTCAAAAGCTAATACTGGGGATAGCTTTTAACCATGTATAAGGAAGCAGTTTAGGAAGCTTTTGGCTTCCAGTGAACTCTGGGTCCTAATACTCTATATAAACTAGAGAAATGGTTTGCTTAGCTGAGCTGGAAGTTTATATCAGACCACATAAGAGTCATTAACAACCTTGAAGTTTCAACTGCCTGATTTCTAATCTACACTAGAAAAGGCTTGTGGAAATTCCTTGAGTGAGATCTAAGACAAGATCCTTGTGAGATTTTTTTCTAACATCTGGGAATGTCATCCAGCCTTGCCCGTGGAGACTCAGAGGTCACTGTGCCTCATGGACTATATACAGCATGAAGTTTCAGTTTACCCAATGGCTGTGTGTTGCCCAACCTCCAAAACAACCTCTATTACAAACTTCTGCTAATACAAGAGTGCTGTTTATTGGCTAAACTGACACTTGGATAGGCTCTGGCCAAGTCAAACATAGTATGAATCTGATAGACTTGGACTTCTCTTGAGGACTATGTTCTCTTCTCATGAGTTAATTAACATTGACTCTAACATGGAAAAGTGTCTCATTGCCATGGATGGCCCCCAGTCATGTCTTAGCAGCCCCTGAACTGGCCAGTCCTTCTAAAAACTCATTGGGAAAAGATACCTTTTCCCACTTAAAGTACAGAGACCTTTCAGGTACATTTCACAAGCCCTGATAGGCTAATCCCATCCACTCAAAATGACCTGCTGCCTCCACCAGACTCCTATTTGTTTAGTCACTCATGGGAAATTTAATGTTTCCTGGAATTTTACACAGAGCCATCTGGCCTCACAGTATGTTGCTTACGATCATTTCATGAAAGTCACCATCTCATTTATTTTTTTACGTGAGGTAGAAATGATAATGTCATTTATTTATAAAAAGGAAAACCAAGATATTTCCTAAAACTGAAGGAACTTTTTAGATACAGAGGCAACCACGCCCAGAACTGTGTGGTGTTCGAAGAGCGAGCATACTGGAGCAGCTGAGCTTCAGTCTATCTCTGTAACTAGACTGGAACATAAAGGCTACCCCCAGAAAACCTGACACTGGTTTTGTTGAGTTCCTGATTTGTTTGTTTTGTTTTCTTTTCTTTTAGGAAAAAAAAAAAGACTGTCACATCCAAATTGTAAGTGGTATAAATTCTAATTTCTTGATTAACATGAATCAGAAAGAAAAATCTCAAAGCAACTATTGAGTTCCCAGCAAACTCTTGACGTTTGGCCAGCTCCTGATGGCGTTACCTCTGGTTTAGTCATAAATATCTGGAGAAAGAACCCTGGAGGTCAGTTGTGACATCCTACTTAAGTCATCTGGAACAGAACTGTCTTCATGGAAAAGGTCACATCGTCCAGATTTTAAGGTCAAATGGGTTGATGGTCGGTGGTAATGCCTGCTTGACAGGATTTAGAATCCCTTGGAAGATGGGGCCCTAGACATGCCTGTGAAGAATGGTTGTCTTTTTTTTTTTTAGGTTAATTGATGTGGGGAAGCCCATCTTAACTAGAATCAAAATCATTCCCTAGGCAGGGATCTGGGACAGTGTTAGATTGAAAGCAAAGGGTGTGCTCTGCTTCATGACTGTAGATACAATGTGACCAGCTATCTCTAGCTCCAATGGCTGTGAATCCCCCACATCCCCATCCCCCATACACACATACATTTCCATGGGCTGTAACTTGAACGGTGAACCAGAGTCAACTCTTTCTCTCTCTTGGCTTTTGTCAGAGTATTCTATCACAGTAACAGGAATGAAGCTCCGACACATTACAACACTATGCTAGGGAAGTCAGTCACTGTAAGCAGGATCTTGAACTTTGACATGTCCTTTTATTTCTCTGCACAGAAAAATATCAGTTCTGTCTGTGACTCAGCACCTCCTGAAGCCCGGGGGTTTTCTTTTTGCTTCCTAAATCAGACCACAGTTCCCAAAGTCAGACCTCAAGTGTCTACCTTATGCTCACTCTGCCTCTGTGTTGGCCTAGAGGAGCTGGAAAATAAAACTGAGGACAAGAGGTATGTGACACAGAAGTGTCAGTTGGGGGTTTTGATGTCACCAGGAAGAATGAACTCAGCACAAGAACTTGCACAAGTTATAGATTCCACCATCTATCCTTGAGTCCACCCACTGAAACAGACTTATTACAGTTCTAATTTTATTGGACTTACTGAGCATTGTTCTTATTGGATTTAGTGGCCAGCCCATAAAAGCCAGGAGGAAAAGATGATCTCCATTTTCTGTATCTAAGTCTGCCAATTTTGTAATTGTGCATGCACTTGTTTTTGCTCTCTCTCTCTCTCTCTCTCTCTCTCTCTCTCTCTCTCTCTCTCTCACCCTCCCTCTCTCCATATATGTCTATGTGTATCTTCCTCTATCTATCTATCTATCTATCTATCTATCTGTCTGTCTGTCTGTCTGTCTGTCTGTCCGTCCGTCCGTCCGTCCGTCCGTCCGTCCATCCATCCATCCATCCATCCATCCATCCATCCATCTATCTATCTATCTATCTATCTATCTATTGATTTAGAAATCAGGGTCTTTCACTGTTCCTTGAGCTCCCCAGGATCTTCTTGACTGTCTCCTAACACTGGGGTTACAGGCATGAAGATCTGACTTGAATCCCCAGTTCTCAAAACTTAGCTGTGGCAGCACATGATTGTAATCCAGAGGCTCCAGCACTACCTTCTCAGAA